TCTTTACACAGCGTGAAGTCAGAGTATGGAATAGTCTTCCTGCTATTGTAGTGGAAGCTAAAACCATGGGTTCCTTTAAATCAGAGCTAGATAAGATTTTAACAACTCTGAGCTATTAGCTAAGTTCTCCCCAAACGAGCTTGATAGGCCAAATGGCATCCCCTCACTTGTAAATTTCTTATGTTCTTATGTTCTTATTTGTGGTGGAACAGGGAAAGAACTAAGATACACAGGACTCTGGCCCCCCGGGACTGGAGTTTGACACCCCTGCTCATTTGTACTTCCCAACATTTGTCACCTACACATAAAAAGCAGGAAGAGGAGCCGACGTCAAGGCTGCGATCCCGTGCTCTACTGACCTCTCACCTCTCTCACCTCCCTCTCTCCACAGGGCACCAGTAACCCTGTCTTTCTGAGCAGCATTGCCTTCTTCCAGAACTCGCTCATCAACCAGCAGACGCAGATCAAGCTGTCGGTCTACGACGTCAAGGATCGCTCTCAGGGAACGGTTTGTTGGTGGACATTGGGGAACTTCATTAGATAAACAAGAACCTGTTGTTTTGTATATAGGCGGTATGGCGCCATGAATTTTCGCAGCTGCGCCTTTTTAAGTAGGGCGTTTGTTCCTGCACGGATTTCTGGGAAACGTCCCTGCAGTTGCTTTGACTATGTGGTTGACCACATGTTTTTCCCATCAGATGTACCTGCTGGGTTCTGCGATGTTTCCTGTGAAGGACCTGCTGCAGGACAAGCATCACAGGCTTCACCTGGGTCTCAGGTAACCCCCACGTCAAACCCCCACGTCAAACCCCCACGTCAAACTATGCTAAGCTATACAAGCTACATGTGACTAATGCGTAACTGTGGTTCCATGGAGGTCTTGGGGGAAAGTTCTCAATCTAGTAAGTGAGGTCTTTTTCATTAAGATCGGCGGAGAACGAACGGATGGGCAACATCACTGTCATCGCCTGGCAGATGGATGAGAAGAGGGACCAGAGGACTCTGGTGGCTCGACTGCCCGACACTGTCAATGGCAGGGTGGGTGGACATCCTAGTACGCAGCCACACGCCTCTGCTCAGAGTGATGCCACCATACAGACTAACTGCCCCCTTGTGTCTCAGATGGTCCTGCCTGTAGATGAAAGCCTGACAGAATCCTTGGGAGCCCGAGCCAAACGCGCATCTTTATGCAAAGACACTCTGCTGAAATCAGGTGCTCCAGTCATTTTCACATATATCATTTTCTGTAGAAATGATAACATCATGATCGCCCACTAGAGTTACAGCAAGTTTAAAATTGTGTTTATCATTTTGTTCCTTACTGCTGCTTTAAGTTATGAATTACATTTCTGGAATGACTCTGTAGTTTTACAGAGATTGTCCTGTTTTCCCTGATATAATTCTGTGCGACAAGCACATTTAAAACCCAGGTATGTTTATCATGCCCTGCTTCGATGGAATAGATGTCACAGGCATCCAGTGTTGTCATGGGAACAGAAAGCTTAAAGGGGGGGGGGGGGGACTCCCATTGCTTATGGCTTGCCATCAGTACATTTATTGCATCAGAGGTTTAAGCTGAATTTTTCAACAATATATGAAAAAAAAAACAATAGATAATCTGGAATTGCTTCTCCTCTATATTGCCATTTGGAATTGCGATCCTTCAGCCCCCCCTCCCCATTGAAGTCATTGTCCCGGGTGCTGGGTTCAGGTTCAGTACCGTTTATCAGTCTCTGGGTGGTTTGGATAATTATTCACTTACTTATCTGTCATGTGACCACGTGGCCGGATTTTCGGGGCCCGAGAGTGCTGACCGGTTCCCCCGTGTTCCCCCATGTTTCCCCGCGTTCCCCCATGTTTCCCCACGTTTCCCCACGTTCCCCGTCCCGCAGTGTTCGGTGGTACCATGTCCCGGATGTACCGCTTCCCCACCACGGACGGCAATCACCTGCGGGTGCTGGAGCAAATGGCTGAGAGTGGGCTGTCGCTCAATGTCCCCCGGCAGTTTGTCAAGCTGCTCCTGGAGGAGGACGCCGCCAGGTACCATCCCCCCCCCCCCCCCCCCAGCAGGCCAGGAAGTCGCCCGTCTCCCAGCGGCCCAAAGCATGTCTATGGAAACTCGGTGACCCTTGAAGATGCAATAAAATACGATGCAATACAATAATATAAATTAAGATAGAATACGATGAGATAAGGTACGATAACATACTATATGATTCTTAAGATACAATGTCATACAGTGAACTTAATTGGTCCTAGGGGGAAATTGTGCAGTGAGGTTTGTAAAGTGAGACAAACAAACATACAGTGCAAAACAAGACAATATACATAGTGCAAACAAATAAACAGCCCCAAATTTTAAAAAAAAATACACAGAACACAAATGGAACATTATAAAAAAGAATGTCAAGGAAATTAGTATAAATTTAAAAATAACTGAATGGAAGGTACATGAGTAGTTATGTGTGCGAACACGCAGCACTGCACTTTTACGGCAAACAGAACTCGCTTTCTGGCGTGTTGTGGCTGGGGGTGGCGGCATGTCAGGGGGAGCCGTTATGGTGTCTGACGGCAGCGGGTGGGAATGGGCCCCATCAGTGCCTCTTACCACACCATGGTGGAGGGAGCCGGTGGCAGAAAAGTGCATCAAGATAGCGCCCCCTGGAGTGGATGGGCAGAATGGTATTATATGCCAGTTTCAAATAATCTGATGGCATTGCCGTCCCAATGCTATGCCATACTCTGGCATTTTCTGTTAGCAGACGACTTCCGTCCTCAGGGGACTGTCTCTGTAAAGCAGGGTGAAGACCATGAACGTCCTGGGCGGAGACGTTGATGATTCTGAGAATCATCAATCAGCCCAGGACGTGCTGTAGGTGAATGGACAAGCAGTCCATTCACCTACAGCAATTTCTCTAAAGATTCTCTTTGCCCGGAGTCTCCTTCGTTTCTATAGCTGAAATGGCTTCCTTTTGTCTCCCCAGTGTGTTGGACTCTCCAAACCCCTAGAAAGGTTCCCCTTCCACCCTCCCATGCCTGTGTCACACGGATCTCTCTCACACTCTCAGATCGGCTTCCGGTGCGTCTCGCTGTGTGACACCATAATGACCAAGTCCTCAGGCTCTGAAGGATCTGAATAATCTTTATAGTTTTCAGCCCATTTCAGTACAGGATTCACTTACAGGCTGCTGAAGATGCAGTGTATAAATAGTACTGTAACTGCAATGCAGATACAAGAGCTCTCAGTGCTAGTTGCACACCTACTCTTGGTTCTAGATCTCCGAATGAGTGAGCTTGTACAATTGCTCAGCCTACATCTCATCTCCTGCTGGCTTGACGTGCAACCAAGGGCACCATCATCTGAAGTAGCTCGAATTACGTCCGTAATGTTTTGTTTTGCTCTGCCTCTTGCTTTTTTTGATCTCTCCGTCCCCATCGTTCTGCAGTGCGTGTCCCCCGAGATCTCCTGTGAACCGTTTTCTTTGTGCTTAGTCTGTGGGAATCGCACAAGCGATCGTGGGACGTCGTGTTTGCAGAGGTGGATTGGCTGTAGGGTTAATTGGCAAGGATAGAGCGTTTGCGGTTCACCGATGCACTGGGTGTCGCACTGTGTCACAGAGGACACAAGCTCAGACTCGATCCTCGGATCTGCATATGCCGGGTTGAGAAAGTCTGTAAAGTGCACTATGAATTTACATTTATTCATTTACCCAATGCTTACAAACGACTTGCAGTAGAGGGAAGATGGGAGAGAAGGGTCACAGTTTTTTTTTTAAATGTGCTCTCATGACTTCATTGTTAGTGCACTGTTCTATTTATTGAGCTATAGAAGCTGGTTTAACAATTTAACAACTGACGGGAAAAGGTGTGACCTCTCCATTGGGTTAGTAAGACACTGTGGGTTGCCAGGTATTGTAAGGTACTCCCTCTGATTGGATGTTAACCACTCACTACGTTCCCCTCCATGTTCAAAGCTGCTGTATTCTCGTCTGCTTGTGCTCAGGGTCTGTGAGCTGGAGGAGCTTGGAGAGCTGTCTCCATGCTGGGAGAACCTTAGAAGACAGATTGTCACTCAGTACCAGACCATAATACTCACCTACCAGGAGACGCTTGCTGACCTGCACGAGTACAAAGGTCAGTGTACAACTGATGCTTTTCTCCAGTGTGAATTCAACACCTAAGCAACTAAGAAAGCACATAGTAAAGCCCATCTAGGAAACTTCCTGTACCTTCTCTAAATCTTTTAAACCAAAATCTTGGAGAAGATTCTCTGGTAACACTTTACTTAAAACAGTCATGTATAATGTGTCATAGACACCTTCATAATGTATTATAACGCATTCATAAAGTATTATAAACACATCTATAATTATTTATAAAAAGGCATAACACATTACAACCATGTTTATTATGCATTATGAATGATTTATGAAGTTCTCATCTATAATGCACTATAGTTACCTTCATAATGCAGTACAAAACATCCCTAATTCTTATACTGACCATTATAATGCATTATGATTCCTACTTTAAGTGAAGTGTTAGTCTCCCTAAACAGGTTTATCATCTGTATGACTACTGGTTACTAACGTTACCACGCAGTACTTCTCTCCTTACTTCCTACACTTCTGTGTTTGTTCTACCCAGCTTTCCATTCTTTGCATGTCAGGTCCTTAGTGAGTACCACACTCTGTCCTCCTGAGGTCTGTCCTCCTGAGGTCTGTCCTCCTGAGGTCTGTCCTCCTGAGGTCTGTCCTCCTGAGGTCTGTCCTCTTGAGGTCTGTCCTCCTGAGGTTTGTCCTCCTGAGGTTTGTCCTCCTGAGGTTTGTCCACAGCAGTAAGTTCATTCTGAAGGCACATGAGGATCCTGCAGCTTCTTTGCTGAAGAAAAACATGCGATTCAAAAAAACAAAAAGAAATTAAAAAGAAAACTATTGTTGCCCATCTGTATGGAGAAACTTCGATTTCAGACCCACACATCACTTGTCAGGATGGCGGTTGCTCAGCTTGTCGTCTTTTCCCTCCCACTCCGCTGGGCTGTTTGTTTTTCTCTCAGCTGATCTTCCATTACTTGTTATTTTGATTTTTCTTAATCTCTCCTCCTCAGGTCCTTCCTTCAAGGCCAGCACCCTGAAGGCAGAAAGAAAACTGGAGTTCATGCCCACCAATCTGCATGTCCAGAGGATGAGGGTGTATGACGAGTCGGGGTTCGGTAAGTTTGGGAATGCGGATGAATCCAAACATTAAAATGCATAAAGCTTAGAGTGACACACCAACCAACGCGGATCACATTCTCTGCGCTTAAAAATGTGCCCTCACTCTTATTTAATGTGCTTGAATCCGCTGACTGTTCTATTACCGCAGTTTATTGTAGCGTTGAAGGTGATTCACTTGTCGGGGAAATGGATTTTGTTGACTAATCGGGCGTTTATTTTCGTGGTTTCGTGGTTTAACCTTCTCTGACCTGAGTGACAGAATGAACTGAGAATGGCTTTGAACAGAAAAAAAGTTATTTAAGCAGTTAAATTTGTAGAGTAAGTTGGTGCAGCGGTCAGGGGGACATGTACAGTACCTCAGCCAAGTCGGGTTTTAGGAGCCGCCGTGCTGTAGGGCGCCACCTCTGGTGAAGCCGCGATAGACACGCGTGAAGCCGCGATAGACACGCGTGCCCTGGAACGCCTGTGTCTGCTTCTCCATAGATCATACTTATGACGTGGTCACCATCGGGGCCCCGGCCGCCCACTGCCAGGGGTTCAAGAGCAACGGCCTACGGAAACTCATTCACAAGTTCGAGGAAGCGAAGAAGAAGTAAGTGTTTGGGAAGATAGGGGTGGGGTGGGAGGGGTGAGGCAGAGTTCAACATAGACAGATTGCTGCTCCGTGCCCCCAAGATCTGTTACCAAAAGTCAGCCAAATGGCTGATTTATTTTCATTTTTTTATGTATATATTAGGCACTGTTCCAGCCCACCTGTCCTGAATGGGCATGAACAGGCTTGCTGTTTATTCGTATCCCGAAGTGAAAAAGGGCTGCCATCCTCTCAGTACCTCACGGTACTCTGTAGAAGACACGCTTTTCTTCCATACAGCTGAAGTCTCTTTCCAATCTGGAATGGCTGGTTAATCTTGTCACAGGTGTCCCCTTCGTTACCTGACACCCAGGCCAGCTCCAGTGGGGGGATGAGGAACAGCCCATATCTGTTGTGCACCTCAAATCACCTCCTGCTTGTTTTCTATCCCCTGGCCATTGACTCTGGCAGGCCTTCACTGTAGGGGTCATCTTGGTGGGTCCCCACTGAATGTCAACCAGGCATTTACTGAACCGATTCGTCGTGAATGAAATGACCTAAAAGCAGAAATTCCCCAAATCCACCGACTGAAATCTGTGATCTTCCGGCACACGCCCAGTCCCTAACAATGCCCCACCTACTCCCACAAACTGTCCTGGACTGTCCTGTTAGCGTGTAATGATGGCTGGTCTCAGGCTTTCCCATGATCCTCGCTGCTGGAGATTCTCCAGTGTCCGCAGATCACTGCACGCTGATGTCTTAGCATCGCCGTCGCACTGCAGCATTGCAGCAGTTCTTCACCTATGACGGCACTGTGCAGTGCCACACTGCCTACAGCCCTTCTGCCCCCGCATACGTTAAAGTACACTGTGTGTTTAAATCACTCTGCTGGCTTCTTTTAATATCATCTGTAGGTGGACATGTCTGTAGAAACAGCATTTCTCATTTATATGTAGAGTTATGTTAAACTTTACCTCAGTGTACTTCCATTCTCTTGAGCTGCATTATTGTATAATAATAATAATAATAACCGCTGATTGAGTGTCTCAGTGCTATAATAATGTTATAATTATGCAACAAAATAATGCTAATATTATAGCTGATGCTAATTCTTTCTCCTAATAATAGCAGTGGTTGTCCTGATACTAACAGTTACAGTTATGGTGCTTGCTGTTGTATCTAATGTGGTGAAATATGATAATGAACATGTTTTGCTCCACGTGATGTTTCAAACTGCCTGGTGACTGGTGTGAATTGCTTTTCCTCTGCTCTGTCTCTGCCTTAATGATGACCCTTGTGTTTTGGGTAACTGGACCTCTTGTTGCTCTGTGCTTCTCCTGCATTTGAAAGCAGTTTCTGAGGTGAATTGATCCTGGATTTTTTTTGTCTAATTGCTGCTATGTTTTTTTGTTTTTTTTTACTTTACATTTTTGTTAAAATCAGCGCTTACGAGGAGACTTGGTGAGTCTTGTTTCATTTAACTTGTCAGTGGTTGAAATGACGTGGTTACGTTCTCATACACCAGTCCCCCTGCGCGCATACACGTGTCTCGGCAGTGCCCTCTGGGTTGTATGCGTGTGCATGTACGTTTGCGCACACGTGTCGTTAAAGGGACTGAGGAAGGCGCATGTTCACTGCTGCCGTGTGCCGCATTTTGCTGCGTGCTCGTTATCATTACGGCATCTTTTTCCCAGCATGACTTGTTCCGAAAAATACATGGGCGTAGTGCTCGTCGACACATTCACCACATAGCTACTGCCATTTAATTAGCTAGAGAAATGGAAAATTAGCAACAGGGAAAGAAACAAGATTTGGAAACCACTGGTGGGTGGGACTGTCATGCACTGCCAATCCTCTGCTGGTTAAACCTACTATCCAGTATATATTTTAATGGTTCCATTGAGTTAAACCCCGCCCACGCACAGCTTCCAGTCTAATTTCTCTCCTTGCTAGGCTGCAGTTTAGCAACAGTTACTGTAAGAGCTGCATGATAACGCATGAAAAAATGGCATAATTAGACAATTCTCAGAATCATCAAGGATCACATTATGTGTAATTTACCTCACTGTGTTTATTTTTAAGCATGTTAAAGGTCAAAAGGTGTTGGCCATCTTAACGCTTCATCCTCAAACACCTCTGACCGCTTGATAACTGTTTTTAAACAAAGGCCTCTTCAAAATTAGTCTGAGAGGCTGGTTGCTAAGCGATAAGTACTGACATCAGTTTACCAATATAAAACGCATGCTTTTAAAGTATCTAAGAAGAAGCAGGATTTTTTTTTTAAATCCAAATACGATCTACAGTCACTGTGGGGACACCAGGAGAAGGGAAGTTAAGTGCCATCGTTGTGTCTGCTAATGGCAGTAGACATATCCACACGTCACTGTGGGGACACCAGGAGAAGGGAAGTTAAGTGCCATCGTTGTGTCTGCTAATGGCAGTAGACATATCCACACGTCACTGTGGGGACACCAGGAGAAGGGAAGTTAAGTGCCATCGTTGTGTCTGCTAATGGCAGTAGACATATCCACACGTCACTGTGTGGGATACAGTAATTAGTACAGCAGTGATCACTTGATTGACAGAAGGAAAATTCAAGCGTGAATCCTCTGGCCTGCTCTGAGTCTCAGGCTAAATCAAGCAATAAGTAATGTCTTAACAGACTTAGATCAGCTAATATTATCTGACCCATTTGCATGCAACCACTGTCACACTTACCATGGCACTCAGCAACAGATCCTGTGCACGGGCAGATTTGTGCATCAGAGCGGCACGTTTTCCGAAGGAGCTCACAGGGGCCGTGTGGAACGCTCCTGGGTAGTGATTTGTTCCATTTCTGCCTGCGTTGTCCTGCTCTACTATTGGGGCGTTTGTGGTTCAGGTGTGCCAGGAGAATGTTCTTCAAGTCCTCTTGGTCGGAGCTTCTTTCCCAGCCTGCCTCTAGAGGGAGCCAGGGTCTTATAGACCCCGCCCCCCCTCCCCCACCGACTAGATTAATATCACTGAGCTCTTCAGCCTAGTCCCTGGAGCACTTGACTGCCACACATCTGGTAGCTGTGAGATTCTGAAGTAGGTTGCCATCACTTAGGTTTGAATTTAAAGAGCTCATACTGGTATTTTTTGGCTGGCACTCTTTGTAGATAGACCATTCCTTCCTTTTGGAAAAGGTTTTTGAAAAACACGCCACTTATAACAGCTGCCACTCCATAAATGAGTGGGCAGAACTGTCACTTTTGTGCTTCCCAAAGGGGAACCAATCAGTCGTGATATAGGACCCTGATGTTCTTCACTTGCAGACAAGATCCTGAGATGGTCCTGCATGCTGATGTTGTTGAACCTCACTGTTCCTCTCGGTTTAGTGCTGCTGATTTTAACTGTGTTCATGTGCTTCCAGAAACTTAACTCCCTCCCCCATCGCCGCTCTCCCCCTCCCCCCTCCCTGCAAACAGCAGCGCAGTCTCCAGCTCCCAGTCCATCGTGTTCGTCCCGCAGGACACCGTCCGAGCCAAGGAGATCATCGCCCATATCAACACGCTGAAAACCCAGGTCAGCTACTATGCAGAACGGCTTTCCCGCGCTGCCAAGGAACGCTCCTCCAACAGCCTGGAGAGGACGCTGACCATCCTGGCAGATAAGGTGGGCAGATCTAGGGCACCCCCTGTGCCCCTTTGACTACCTATGACTTCTTTGCTATGTGCACAAGTACCACTACAAGTACACTGGAATGCTTTCATCCTGACATATCCCATCTTGCTCTCATTTGAGACAGACTGCAATGTGCAGAAGTCTTAGACAGTCAAAGAAAATCATGTTTAAATGATCTTCATGTCTATCAAAGTGTGTCAGATTAGCCATTTGAAAACTTCTCTGAAAGCCAACCCAGTATTTGCAGCAGTCTTTCAGTACAACAATGGATTTTTTTACTTGATCGCTAGCACACCTTATTTGTCTAATCAATACCTCACTAGGTTAATTCATTCATTCATTCATTCGTTCCTTCATTCATTCATCGAGTTCTTCTTAAACTTAATGAATACATGGAAAGGCTGAGGTCTGAGGTGTCCCTGAGCAGAGGTTTGGAAACCAAAGTGGTGTCCATCAAGCTACCCAACAAGATGTCGGTAACTTTTTGAAGAACAGAAGAAATTCTTGTTTTTTTTTTGTGTTACTGTCAATTTACATATATTGTAATGTTAAATTGTGTTTTTTTTCCTGAGCAAATACACTTACTACCCAGATTAAAATAAACATTTTCTTTGACTGCCTAAGACTTTTGCACAGTATTGTACACAGATATTAACTAAACTTCGCAGTAAGCCTTCCATCCTGATCTTCTCCAACCATGCCGTTGTCCACGCATTGCACTTCACACATCTTTCTTCTCCAACACCTCTGGTTCCTGTGGGCTTTCGAGGTACTGTGCGTGCTTCAAAATATTAACATGTGACATATATCCCCCCAGACACGACAGCTCGTGACCGTGTGCGACTGCAAGCTCCTAGCCTCGGCCATCCAGGCGCTGAACGCGGCCCGGCCTGAGTACATCGCCTCAAAAGCCTCGCCATCCACCGTCGACGGAGACCAGGTGGTTCTCCGCAACGACCAGGACACGCTGGTGGCCAAGTGGGCTGGGGGCAGCAGCCGGTCTTCCCTACATGCCAACTGGCAAGAGGAGGAGTGGGTAAGACCCAGGGCTTACCAACATGTCAAACCTGCTGGAACGGATTTCGCTCAAGTTCAGCTCCTCACAAGCACGTGATGCTGTAGCTGAAGGCTTCGCATGTGGCCCCAGAACGGAGAGCTACACCTGCAAGTGCTTCCATGAAACTTCCATTTGGATATAAACGGGTGAAACATCATGACTCACTTTTGATAAAAACTATTACACGACAGCTGCAAAATGTAAATGCAAAAACACAGGCGTACAGTATGTGGTTACGTAACCGTCAGCCTTTGTCAGTGAAAGTCCAACGTTTGCCAGATCCATGAATACTATATTTTGGTGTGTAATTCAAGGTGGTCTTGACGGATGTGTTTCCAAGTTAATTTATTTTTCTTCAGAGACAGTCCTCATTTAAAAATGGAAATGATCCCCTCCTAATGATGCAGAATGTAATACAAGCACTAAGGTGATATTGAGTGGCATCATGTGTTTCTTGGGATAGACATCAGGGTCACCGTCACCTTCTGATCTATAAGCAATTATGGAAGATGGGTGCATTTGTGGGAGTTTTACTTACACAAAAATATTCTGAAGGCAGAATGAGAAATGATTGGTTCAGAGAGATAACCAATCAGATTGTATCAGGTGGGTCCAAGCAATATAGGTAGCAGGACCAATCAATCAGATACCTTGGTCCTGCCTTCTCTAGTTGCTTAGACCCACCTCCTCTACAATCTGATTGGTTATCTCTCTGAACCAATCATTTTTCCTTCTGCCCTCAGAACATATTTTTTATAAATAAAACTCCATTGAGCAATGGATGAATGGTGATATTACTCCTCACTCTCCTTTTTTCTCATCCTCCCATAATGCTTCAGGAGAAGGTGTGGCTGAATGTGGACAAGAGCCTGGAGTGCATCATCCAGCGCGTGGACAAGCTGCTGCACAGGGACAGGCTGCAGAGCGACAGCAGCGAGGATGTTTTCCTTTGCGACCAGCAGGGCGGCGCCAGCAACAGGAAAGGTAACCAGAGGACACGGGCATTCTGGATAAACCCCAGCCCAGAGGAGTCTTCCTCATCCACTGCATGTCCGCCACAGTCAGCCCCATCGTTTTCGTCAACATCATCAGCAACGCCATTATTGCCACCATCTTCATCAACATCTTCATCATCTACACAGCCTGCCCTGAGCACTGCACGCCAGTCCACCTCTGATTGTAGGTTCATAATCATTTTTCACAGCTTTCTCCCCATTAATCATTGCACTTTTTTCTGTTCTGTTTCCCTTTTTTGTTTGAGATTACACAACCTACCTTGACATATAAATTCACTTCCTAGCTCAGGACTATTGCTATAATTAAGAAAAAAATAACTGAGAAGCATTAACGACAAAATGAAAAAATAAAATTCTGCTGAGCATTTGACAGTTTACTGTGTCGGTGAGGGTGTTAACACACCCCCAGGTCCTGTGATCTGTGGAAGTGTCCTGACTGCCCCCCCCCCCCCCCCACGTCCTCTCTGTGTGCGTCCGTCGCATTTCCATCCTGCATCTCTGCTTCATGCGCTCTCCTCTGTCTCCTGGCAACTTTCTATGCAAGTTTCACTCATCTGATCGCTTCACCGGCACAACTGCAATTAACAGTGCCAAGGCACTAACGGGAAAAGACACTGATTGACAGGTCAGGAATTAACTGCAACTAATTCAATAAGTGGAAATCTAACACAGCGTCTTAAATAATCGAACAGTAGTTTTATGGCACCCCTAAAAAGCATGAGAGTTAAAGATTTGTGCATTTTAAGTGCACGTGTGCCAGACTTGTAAAGGTGTCTTCCTTGGGGTCTGATCGGGGCCGTAGCCAAGGTCTGTCGAAAAACAGCGAGGTCCGGGACCCGGAGGTTGGGGGGGGGTCTCGTCAATCACATTATTGATACCGTCCCCTTCATAAGCTATTTATTTTTTTAAAGTAATTAGTTATGTGAAATGTTAGTTAGTCTATTTTTTATTCAAATCTATGGCCCTGAGTCTGAGGTTGACCTACAGGGACTGGGAAGACTCTCTGATGGTGGGTTAGGGTTAGTGGTCCACCCAGAAACAAGCTGCTGGTCTCAGTGGAGTCTGTAAGCTCATCTTGCCCTGTAGTTTGATATTGGAGCTTGTCGCTCAGCTGACAGACTGTGGCCCTGCGTGCCTGTGTGTGTGTGTGTGTGTGTGTGTGTTAAGTAAGCATCCTGGCTCTGTTTGCCTCGCCATCTGCACAGTCTCGTGCCGCGACTGCTTTGGGCCCGAACGGCGATACCTCAGTGCTGCAGCAGAACCGCTGCGGTCCAACTAGCTCTGAGCTGCTGCCCATGTTGTCTCTGACGCTTCCTAACCATGCATGTTGCACCTCCCCCCCCTCCCCGTCTAGATGGAAACCCAGGTGGCGAGGAGGCCTCCCCAGGTAAGAGCTTTCCCCCACCCACCTGCTTTGCGCCCCCGTGCCCCTGTCGCTGCGCTTTCCGCAAAACGCAAAGCCTCACAGCCCAGATTATTACTGTAACACCTGGTGTCACCAAATTACTGTCATGATAAACTCTCCAGGTACTTATAATAGCTGTGATCTTTCATCTGTTATTTAATTTTTATTAAATCAATTATGAAAAGAGCTATTTTTTTACTAATGTGAAATGTATGCGGTGTTTGTCAGAGTAAGTAATGGGACTGAAGCACTGGAGTGCTGACAAACAGGGGTGTCACTAAGACTGCTTTAAGGGGGCATTAGCTCCTATCAAATGCTCTTTAGCCCCCTCCCAAAAAAATAAATGCCCACTAATTAGTTTAAATAGTGTGTTCTCATTCTTGTCTGATGACCCCACCCCCAGTAAAAGGCTTAGCCCCCACTTTGTCAATCTCTAGTGATGCTCCTGTTGACAATCATGTGAAGTGTGTGTGTGTGTGTGTGTGTGTGTGCGTGTGTGTGTGTTTGCATGCGAATGGGTGTGCGTGTGTGTTTGTGTGTGTTTGCATGCGAATGGGTGTGCGTGTGTGTGTTTGCATGCGAATGGGTGTGCGTGTGTGTGTTTGCATGCGAATGGGTGTGCGTGTGTGCGCGTGCGGTCGTGTTCTCAGGTGTACAGCCGCTAGCAGCTGCGTGCTCCTCTGCGTGACGCCTCTTCTCTCGCTCAGGGGAGTGGAGCGAGGCCTTATACCCGCTGCTCACCACACTGACCGAGTGCGTGACCATGATGAGCGACAAGGCCAGGAAGTCTATGGTGTTCCTGCTGATGCAGGACCGGGCGCCCACCATCGCACTGGACCTCAGCCTGCAGTACCGCCGCGACGTGGTCTTCTGCCAGACGGTCAGCCCACGGCCTTGTCCTGACCCGGGGGGGTCTCTCAGCCGTTTGGGGTTCAGAGGGGTTCCTTAGATCATAGCATGGCAGCCGTAGTCTAAAATCCACGGAGCCCGTCAGATTCGTGGCTTTCTGAGGTGCTGCACAGGTATCCACCCTAATTCTACTGAGCGAATCAAGATGCCATATGCTGTATATGTAATGAAAGATCCTTTTTTCCGGCAAACATACCTTGCGAATTCAGCTGATTTATTTTGCCGGATGCCAAGAGTGGGTGGTATACTTGCGTCTGTATGCGTACGTGTTTGAATATTTAAGCTAATCCAGTTGCATGACTGTGAGAATAAGATAAGTGAGCTCAGATGAGTGGAGGTGAGGGGGGGTGGGGGGTGGTGTCACACGTTTGCGTGATGATACTATGGCAGACACCCATCTGCAGTAACTGCCGGTGGTCAGAGCCTAAGCAGGACGACACGAAGCATGTTGAGTATTTAATAATGCTAATCCTTTTAGCATTTAGCGAGAAGTAGATTTTGTAGTTTTATATTTTTTCCGTTAGTTGTGTTTATTAGAACATTTTGCCAGTAAGTTAACTTTCTGCGTAGTTTCAGCAGTTTGCTGCATAAATAATGCCTCCATCCGATCAGCCTCTAATCGCTGTGATTGTGATTCTCTCCTGCTAGCTGACTGCCCTGATATGCGGCTTCATCATTAAACTGAGGAACTGTCTCCATGACGATGGCTTCTTGAGGCAGCTGTACACCATTGGCCTCCTGGCGCAGTTCGAGAGCCTCCTGAGCACTTATGGTAAAGAAAGACATGCAATCATGGTGCTGTGAGGTCCCCAGTCCTGCTGGAATATACTGGAATGATGCCTCTAACCCAAGGGCATGTGTGTGTGTGTGTGTGTGTGTGTGTGTGTGTGTGTAACAGGAGAGGAGCTATCAATGCTGGAGGACATGAGCATAGGCATCATGGACCTGAGGAACGTCACCTTCAAGGTGACACAGGCTACCTCCAGCTGTGGCCCCGACATGCTGCCTGTCATCACTGGGAACAGGGACGGCTTTAACGTCCGCATCCCGTTGCCGGGGACCATGTTCGACGCGTTGCCACGGGAGATCCAAAACGGCATGCTCCTGCGCGTGCAGCCTGTGCTCTTCAACGTGGGCATCAACGAGCAACAGACGCTGGCAGAGAAGTAAGGAGACATGGAAGGACATCAAGACGTGACGAACTCCTCAAACCTCCATTAGTCTCACATTTAAGCTAAATGAATATGAAACTATTCGGCCTCATTGTACCAATGAGCGGTTAGAAGATGAAACGTCTGCACTTGTCACATTTATATTTTTTCAGCAGACGCTTTTGTCCAAAGTGATGTTCAAGAGAGGCAAATGGCACATTGCAAACATATGGCTGTCAAGGAGTCTGCCCGGCATAAGTGAAGCCAGGCTGAGCTTCCTATGACTGCCCAGGTACAAGTGCAGCCAGGCTGAGCTTCCTATGACTGCCCAGGTACAAGAGTAAGCAGGACTGGAGCAGGAGCTGCTTCTAGCCAAGCAAGAACCTAATAAGACAATTCAAGGAACTGCAGCATTAAGAACATTCAGAGACGCATCAGGCTAGTAGAAGAATTCATGGAACAGATGGATCTTGAGGTGTTTCTTGAAGGTGGAGACGGAATCTGGTGATCGGATGTGGTTCAGCAGCGCATTTGATCATCCAGAAACCACACAAGAGAATTGTCTGGAGAAACATATTAGCTTGGCAACATGATTGGTCAGCTGCTGTAAAATCTAGTGATGGCCAAATGAAGCTTCATGAACGATTTTCTGACCCTACTAGCTGGTGCTCGCTGTTCATAAAATGGCTCAAACCAAAGACCAGAGCAAACCAAGAGCACCATCCTTTGGAGTCAAAAAATACAGCAGATGGTTCATGAAGCTTCATTTACCCATCACTAGTGAAAGCTTCTGCTTACCCCTCTCGATCTGACACGTCATTTTCCTTTGATTTTTCCAAGGTTTGGAGACACATCTTTACAAGAAGTCGTCAATGGGGAGAGTTTAGCTCGTCTGAATTCCTACTATGAGCAGTTTAAAGAGGTCTTACCTGAAGACTGTGAGTCCTCATTCATCTTCTGTCATTGTCTTTAATGAAACCTTATTTCATGTTGTTTGCAAAGGTTATTCCTGTATGTGTAGATTTTTTTTTTTTTTTACAATAAAGCTAAAATCTGAGGTAGTCTTAGTAGGTCAACGTTACATTTCTATTTCAATTTTCTGAGGCCGCTGCCTCTTCCTGTACCTTGGGTTAATTTGCTTGCACCCGCCTCAGGAGTGGAAGTTGACCTGAGAAAGCACTCTGTGTCTGTGAGGTGATCTTGGTTCACATTCCCGGTCTCCCTGGATCTTCAGGTCTACCTCGGTCCCGCAGCCAGACCTGTTTGCCGGAGCTGCTGAGGTTTCTGGGCCAAAACGTTCATGCCAGGAAGAACAAGAATGTGGACATCCTTTGGCAGGCGGCTGAGGTAGGTGGTGGAGGACTCTGGCCGGTGAGCCAGGCAGTTACACTCAAATTACCTGTCAGCAGGACATAAACTTTCAGCAGGAGTAGCAAGTAGCTCACAACTTTATCAAAAAGTTTATTGTAGTAATTTATACCGTTCGATATTAATCAGTTGATCTACAGTTGGGTCCCAGAAGGAAGTTGAATCGGCTACCTTGAGGTTACAAGCTGCTGTTTTTCACCCTCTCTACGCTAACAGTTAGCATCCGGTAGAACGTGAAGCGTGACCCATCCTCTGCCCACCTAGATCTGCAGACGCCTGAATGGCGTGCGCTTCACCAGCTGCAAGAGCGCCAAGGACCGCACGGCTATGTCAGTGACGCTGGAGCAGTGTCTGATCCTGCAGCACGAGCACGGCATGGCGCCGCAGGTCTTCACGCAGGCCCTCGACTGCATGCGCAGGTAGGTGTCCGGCCAGGCTGCCTGACCCAAACCCCGCTCTAATGCTGGGACAGTGCCAACTACAGGGGGCGCCATTCATGCCCACAGCATCGCTGTGGCTATAGGCTGTGTAAGCAAAAAAAAAAAAAAAGTAAAAAAGAACAAACCACCCAAAGTTATGAGTAGTAAATATTCCAGACGTATTTAAGGCATGAATTTAGATTATTTTTATTTTGGTTTTCAGTTTGTTTACGAGCCAATCCATAGTACTTCACTAAATAATTAGCTAAATCCAGTTTTTTACTCAGACTTTTACCTAACTAGATTACTAAAAAGAGTTTAAACTGGTGGAGAGATCCTTGCTAGTTATTTGATATTTTTACGTATAAGTCTGCATTTCCGTTTTAGTTCTTGTGGTTTGTGATGAATCTAGGATGCTGCTGACTGATACCGGCCACCTAAAGACACATTTTTGGTTTTCTTCTCACCATGAGAATCTGCGTGAGATTTATTTAATGGGTCACGGCAGGCAGTCAGCCGCAGGATTGTCGGTGCGAGCAGGTCACCGGGGTTAAAGGCCACCGGGTACTTTGAGGATGCTGGAGCAGTAAATTTTGACCAGTCCACAGTTAGAGACTGGAGGACGAATGGCAGTGCCGCTGTTTAAAAGGGCAAGACCCACATGATCAATTATTTATCCGATAACAGTTTTTGTATCTCTACATACGTCAACCACTGCTACAAGGCAAAGTAGCTAGATAAAGTTTGCCCGGCTATCTGAACTTCAGGATGGATTTGATACAAATGGTAACACCACAAATAGCCACAGCTGGCTCTGAAATTAAAATCCCCGCCCCTGAAGTTAGCAGTTGTTCCTTTCCGCTTAATGTTTGTTTTACCCTTAGCGTCCGGCAGTTATACTTTTGCTTGTTCATCTATTCGCCCGAGCTGTGAGGGAATGTTCGATTTCCAGCGATGGAGCTCTTAATCTTCCATCCTGCATCGCATCCCATCCATCCGTCACCCCCCCTCCAACCCCCCCGCCTCCAATCCTTATGTGCTGACGCTGCTGCCAGGAGGGGGGCACCCCTGTGCCCCTGTTAAGAGGTCTCTGCTTTGCGCGGGAGGGAGATGACCTAATGAAGCGCGGTTGGTTGGATAGGCCTCAGGGCTGTAGTGGAAGAGCCATGCTGTTTTCCATGCCTGCCGTCACTTCCTGTTCCTTCCTGTGTCTCTGTCTCAGATCTCTCCTACTTTTTCCCCTTCTAGTCCGTCCGATGTGTCAAACAGTTCTTTAAACAAACAAAAAAGAACAGAGAATACCTGTATATTTAGTTTCTCTGAGCTCATTTACTGGTAACTCCATGGAGTGGCAAGGAATTATGGGATATCTGTCACAGTTGACGCTACCCTTCTGCGGCTCTGTGCCTGTTGCATGCTGGGAAGAAGCATGACTGCACTGCATGGCCCCCCCACCAGCCTCCCCCCACCCTCTTGTTTGTTAAACACAGAGAGCCATCGCTGTTTCTTACTACCTGCTCTTTCTTTTCCTTCCAAAGACTACAGAACATTTCTGTTAATTTTCTCTTCTTTTTTTATTCTCTCTCTCTCTTTTTATGATGGTGAATTTCTTTTTTGTTTGGTTTCTTTTCCGTTGTTTTCTTCTCTGCCTTTATGTGCCTGTTTTGTACTTCCTCCTTTCTTCCATTCTTTCGGCTTTGTTTTTTGCTCACTTTTACTTGATTTCACTGTTGATTTATTTTGATTTTATGATTGATCGACTCCTCCGCCGTGTCCCCACCCTGGGCCCTGTCCTCTCACCTGTCCCTGCTGTCATGTCATTTATTTTCTTACTCCAACCATCTCTTATCGTCACCTGCGCCCCCTCCTCCAAATGCCGTCCTTTTGCATGTCTGTCTGTCCCTCCTCTCTGGCTCCTGTCCTCTTCCTACCCTGTCCCCCACGCCCCCACACCCCCAACAGCATTGGGACCAGGGAGGGGGTCACCCAGAAGAACCTGAGTGGCCTGTTGCCCGTCCGGGACTTCCAGCTAGACCCCAGCCTCCTGTACTCTGTGCCTTTGCTGGCTCTCAGCCCCAACCTGCTCTTTGTCTGGTTCTTCCTGAGCGTGGCCTGCCTGCTCGCCAGGCTTCGCTACAGCTGAGGGCTCCGCCGGCTTGGGCACCAGGACGCACTGCTCCACCACAAGGCTGCCCGCTTTGTTCTTTACCGCTGCGTAGCCTCAGAGCTGCATAGCAACCCCCCCCCCCCCCCCCCCCACCCCATTTCTGCCTTCTAACCGTTGGGGAAATAAACGCGTGTTGTTTTTCAGAGTCTGAACAGCTGATATTGTTGTGTTACACTTTAGCTGTTCCCAGACAGCTCAGCTGAAGTGCAGCTACATGTAAAGGCAATTTGCTATTTAAATACACATATTACCTTGTTTGCATAAACAGAGGGTTCTAATAAGATTTTTACACTAGCTGTAAACAATGTTGTTAGTCAAAGAAAACTTTTTCTTTAGGCTTTTGTGATAGTCTTGCTTTGCAGGTCTTCCTTTCTAATGTCAGATTTTGTACAGTATAATCCAGGCCCGATGCTATTAATTCCTGTTTGTTAGTTGGGACTAAGTGGCAATTTTGTGCTTTGGGTTCGGGCTAGCTCAGGTGACCCTACTGGTGTTGTGTTTACTTTTTCAATTTATATCTGCTGCAGCGACTGCTGTAGTTTTTCAAGAATGTGTAGGAATTATTATTAACCGCTAATAGCCTTTAGGAGGATTACACTGCGTGTTTGATTACTAAAAGTTATAATGGTTTTAGTTCATTTTAATGAAATACGCGGGGAAGAGTCTTGTTTTTTCACAGACACGTTGTAATCGTTTTTTTAAAACACACAAAACCACAGGAGTTATAAAAATAATTTACTTAAACCTGAAGAATTTTTGCTTACAAAAATAACTAAACTATAATGTATTAAGTGCAAACAGAAATAGTAAAATACTGAAAATGTAGTGAATGTGTCAGTATGGAGACATATATCCGATACTCTCAAAATATATACGTTTGACAGTTTTCTGTCAAAATCAGGATCACTTTAATTTTATTGGACAGTGACTGGAAGCAAAAAAAAAATCTTTTATTATGTGCTGGGGAAGCATGTGCCAAAGAAAATGGACTTATTTCGTGGAGTATAAAAGTATTATAATTATCAGTTGTATAGGCAGTCAGCCGACTGGCTGAACCCATGAGAGCTATGGCACAATGAGGCTGCTCTGGGCTCGACTTGACGTCCTGCGACATAACTGTGACGATCAAATGTTGTTTTGAGTCCTGCCTGAATCAAAAAGTGTCTTGAGGGCTAGATTATTATGGCTGTCAATGTTGTCAAATTGATAAGTTTTGGGGTATAAGATTATTAATCATCTTGTTATTAATAATCATATTATTATTAATAATCTTGTGCAATGGCAATGTTTACGTTAGAAATTAATATTTAAATATTTTAAGTGTTTCTTTTGTCAGTAATTCTATTTTATTACCATAAATATATTTCTTGTAGATTATATGCAAAATAAAGGTTCTTTAGTTTTATTTTATTATCGTTAAAATAACTACTAATATTAAGATTTCCCTGGGTTTACTACGGTTTTTATGTTTCTTTTACTGTGTGGATAAATTAAGAGGTCTTCCTGAGGATCACTGAATAGGATCACTAAATATTTTCTGCTGTTAAAACAGATGAGTTTGTCATATATTACACTATATGTAGATGCATATGTACTATATGTGTGTATCTACAGTATTTTTCATTCTATAGTCGCTTTGTCATTGTTTGAGGTGAAGCCTGCCGGGAAAATGCACGTGGTTAAAAGAGCAATAGTTAAGAGTGAATAATGAATATAAAAATGAGTAACTGTAACCTGAGGCATACACACTAACAGCTCCCTAATAAAAATACTCCTCCCAGTGCATTCACATCACACCACTGCATTCACATCATACCACTGCATAAGTAAAGGGTTAACAAATTTACGCCATTAATGGTTAAACTATGTGGAAGTACAAGTCCAATGGGACTTCTGGCTGTGAAAATGGCTTAGAAACATTTTCTCCCTGAAATGTCGGAGCACGACAAACGCTGGACTTCTAAGAGCACTCAGTGTCTATTGTACTATGGAGTGTGACAGAAAGGAAACCATCATGATTCTTTGTTGTATCTACCCTTGTTTTCTGAGAACTGCCCCAGATGCCGCCCCCTCTCCCCCCCCCCTCAAAAAAAATGGCTTGCCCCAACCCCCACATCCCATTCGCTGTCATCAGCCCTGGAAGCTCCCACTGTGTTCCTTTGACGGGTGTCGGCTTGTGTTTACTCATTGTCTTTAAAGCATTTTTTTTTTCACTTGCTATCATCCTCTCTGTACTTGATCTCCCCCACCCCTCTCCCTGCCCTCCCCCCTCCCCCCACCAGCGAGGGTTGTCGACGAGAGAACACCATGAAGAATGTGGGATGTCGCAAGTATGCTTTTAACTCTCTGCAACTGAAGGCCTTCCCAAAACATTACAGACCTCCGGATGGGACTTATGGGAAAGTCGAGACTTGATAGGACAGCGCCAGGCGAAAAGAGAAGACTATCAACGAAAACAAATTATCGTTACTTGTGTACTTATGGTCTATGTGATAGATAAATAGTCCCCGACCTCGTAAATATAGAAGAATATGTACATATTAAAGGTAAACAGACAACTGCTCTATCTGACCCAAAATCACCTCTATAGATAAAGCATGCTTCTCTGACATGGGTCTCCAAAGATCATTTCACTGAAATCTAGATTCATACTGTATATGTAGACCGACTGAGGCACATGTCTCAGCGGGAGTGGAAGCCCTGGTGTCCCAGGTCATGGTGGCTATTATCAGTGACTACAGGGAAGCAAACCATGAAATGGGCTGCTGGGATTTACTACATCACAGGCCTCTGGTGCGTTGGGTCGGCGTAACGCAGAGCTTTTCCACTGCCCCCCCCCCGGGGTCTTTCCGGAGCTTCACTAAAGGTTTATCAATGCCTCCATAGGACTATACAATTTGTTCAATTCACAAGATGGGAAAAATGTACCAAATGGATATATTCTTGTTTTATTTCCAAGTTTTAGTATGTAAATAAGTCTGGAGACAAAACTGACCTTTGCATACTGCATGACACAAGGCGGCTTCACATTTTCTAGGATCTCCGATGGCTGGTAGCAATGTTGTGATTGTAGAAAACCTTCACTGTACCTCCTTTGCTGTATTTTGCATATATCATAAATACTTGTGTACTTGTGATATGTGCTAGACAAATAAGTATGGAAATCACGTAATCTGCAGGCTTCTTTGTGCACATGACCTCTTTATCAGCTGAAATATTAGTGCCACGGTCGGCTTTCTTTTATACACTTTCTGTGTTGCCTGGTTTAATCTGGATGCCATTTTCTTTTGAGAAGCTCAGTACCTGGTGTGAAAGGTGATTGCATCTCAGGACTCTACCTTACCCAGCTAACGTTCCACTTCTCCACCCAGCATAAGTAAAATTGCACGGGATGCACACAAAAAGGGACAAGAAGCACCAATCATCCAAAACACGACCACCCCACCCCAGCTGTCTCCTTCCAGAGTCATACCTTCTCACTACATCTTCAGTCCAGTCAGACCCACAATGCAACAGTGCACCCGTCTGATTTGCACACCCACAACAGCTGGTTGAACTCAGCCGTGGGGTGTACATTCTGATGTGGATGCTGGGCATGGCTTGAGGTTCAACAGCCAGTGGCAACTTTCTCGTTTGCTACTCTGTTTCCGTGGTTACCCCTCTGTCTTACTCGTGTTGACCTGCTTTTACGTCGCTAATTGCCCACACACTACAATCATCAGAGCTTGGTGCCTAAAATGTGCCTATTGCTCTGGGGTGATAATCTGTGAGCAGAGCCACACCCAGAATAATACAATCCTTGTGTCTTAGATATGAAAGGTTTAAAAACTAGATGTATTGTAGGGTGTCATCAGGTCATATTATGTTGTGTGTTTTTAATGGCTGAAGTTCATCTGATGTACGAGTGCTGGTCTGGAGCTGTGTTGTCCATGTACATGTCTGATGAGGTCTTGGGATCTGGGCTTGATCACTGCAGCTCCATGGTGGAGCCAGAAATTAAGTCTGGTTGACCATCAGCAAGGCAGTACTGAAAATGGCATAGTTTATATTTAAAGCTTTCGAACACGTTAGTGTACCCTGACCACCAGCTAAGGCCGGTCAGCGTAATTTACTGCTTCTGACTTCAGTGCTACTTGGAAATTCCCGAAAAGCTTTAATATTTCACAAACGCGTATCAGAAAAATACCCACTTGCCTGCTATAGCTGACGACGCAGGAATACTGCACGTGGGCTGTGGGAGAGAATACGTGTATTTTGCTTGATCGTGTTTAACGGTGAATACTGTAATAAGTAGGCAGTGTTCAAAATGTGCCTGTGAAATACGGTCCCTTCTGTTGACCTATAAGAATGTTTATGACAAATATTGTGGAGTGAAATAAGTGAAGACTGACACTTGATTTCCTGTACTATTTCTTTTCCATTGTATTTTTTTTTATCGACTCATCGGCACACTTATTACAACATGCACCTTCATGAAGAAAGGTTTCACATTTTCTAATCAGGCCAAGCTGAATTTGCTTGCGAATTTGTCGAGCACTTAGGGAGAGGCTTCTGGCTTTTCCACATGCTGTTAGAGCATCTGTTTCTCTGTTTGGATGGTGGCGCCGTTATATTACTCTCTGAGCAATGAAATCCCATTATCGCCATGTAGTTTCGTACGTTTTGTGCCAATGTGTGAAGTACACTATAGACCCCACCCGGGAAACAAGTGATATTCTTCATTTAGTATGTGCGGGAGAGGAGGGGTAAAAACGAAAACTTAAAATGCATGTAGCAATGCCTCAGATACTGTATAATTATTTTATTAAAGGAAAAGTTGTGAGATGCAATTTGTAATGCGTTATTGTATTCTGTACACATCAGTTTATTTTTATTGGCTCTATACATATCTAACGTAAACTGAAACCGTAGAGGTTTCGGTTCTGTTTAAATTAAATTTTTTTGCTTTTATGTTATATACATATAAATACTGTATAATGTGTGTGATATGCTCTCAAAGTTTTATTTGCGACGAAAGTTTTTGTTATTTAATTATAACTATTCTTATTACAGTGAACTCTTGTGGAAGATCTTTAAAGATTTGTTTTGCTGTATAATCTGCTTTGTGCGCGACGCATTCCTGTATTAAGTTAAGATATTAAAAATCATACCGGTCTGTTACTTGTCTGTTGCAATTTATTTACTTGTCTCGTTCATTATCGTTACGTTTTAATGGTCTATTTTACGACTGAAAGCGTCCGTTACAAAAATATAGATGCAAAATCGAGTTTCTGAACTTCGGAATGGAAATGTGGTGGACATTCATGAGGAAGTAGATAAGGTAAATACACGACTGTGGTAATTACTCTTATTTTATTACATTATTTCCCAAATCATGCAACATAACTAACCGGTTTAAAAACACCAGCGGTAACAGTTAAAACTGTCTAAAAGTCGCACGTGCGGCCTGGAGGCGCCGCCCCTTCGCGCGCGGCCGCTGCCCGCGTTCCTGGGGGAGTCGCGAGGTCGCAGTCCAGCGAAGGGTAAGCTGCGTTATTTTACGTCGCCGGTCGACGAAATGTTAAAGTTGTGTTGTTTTTTATGTATTGCTATGCATCCATTTATAGAGATGCGTTAATTACTTTGGAATCCAGATAAAATAATCGTTAAAATGAGGTGTTGTTCATAAAGTTTTATCGTGCAATTGTTTGCGTAACTAGTATTGTACATGGACTGCAGAACCGGAGAGACCAGCCACCGTACCGGGTAAATTTTGGAGTGAGCATCAACAATCACGAAACAATTTCCACAAATAACTTATTTCAAACCGAACAACCTTATTCGCAAAAGGCTGAATTGTATTCGTGTTTTTGAACAAAAATCTTAACGCATCGCGCAGAGAGTGTATTGTGAGGTGAGCACGCTTCACAATACACGAAAAGAACAGGAAGGTTATGTCTGGGCTTTTCAAAATTAGACAAGTGAACATGACTTCATGCCCCGCGTCCGTGGTATTACGTACTAAATATCTGTGGCTAAGACCAAGGCCGTGCGAGACCTTTGGGGGGGCTCCCTCGGTACATTACGCGTGACCGTCGGTGATCAGTAACATTCGCCGACTGGAGGGACGGTCTCCTTCAATGAACATTGCTCTCTATAAAAAATGCGTGATTGTCTGTATTCGAGAAGAGGCAGTCAATCAAAGGTGGGTCACTTTCTGTCGTTCAGGTGAAGGGGCAGGTGCTCAGGCACCCTCAGCCCTCCCCCCAACCACACTCACTCACTCTCTTTCTCTGCCTGGTAAACACATTAGTAGTGGGCCTAGTGGCATGTGTCCATCTTCTCATGGTAAATATGGGCTCTAGATTCAGGATGGCAAAGAAGCTGCTGGTAGATGTCGACTGCGGGGTAGACGATGCCCAGGCCATCATGATGGCACTGGCCGTCCCCGACGTGCAGATCCTTGGTGTGACCTGTGTCCATGGCAACACCACCACCGAAAACGTCTGTAAGAATGTGCTTCGTGTTCTGAAGGCCTGCTGCAAACTGGAGGTAAGGAGGCCCACAAAAGCATGACATCACCCTCTCAGAAGGGATATATGAACGACAAAGAATACCCTTTCCCTAATACGACTGTCTAATGCAATCTGTTTAATCAGCAAAACAACCTTGACTTTTACATCTGCAATCCACTGCTGTGTGTTTAGTTGCAGGACTGTGAACTTCCTCTAATAATTATGGCATTCCATCTGCTGCCAAATTCAGTTTTATGGTGGTTTGTGGTCGTGGCCTTTTGTTCTCTGGATAAAGGGTTCAGAGAACATTGATGTCGCTGCTATTGCAAACACTAACAAGTCATTCACATGCAACTTTCTCACTTGTATTGCCTTTATGTGGCTGGAAAACACCGTATCAGGCAAAGGGAACAGAGCATGTTTTGCACAAGGTGGAAAAGAAAGTCCAGTAGTTCCATGCGTCGGTCAATCTCACCATGGCAAAAATAAAAGCTGTGAGCACTGGAGCAGAAATATTTGGTAAATAAACAGGAGGAAAGCCTCAGCGCATCAGAAGACCTAATTTTGCCATCAGGAAAATGAGGAAATGAAGCCTAGTTTTAAAGTTATGTACTGCTGTTTAAAGCAAAAGGGGTTGGCGTCTGCAGATTCCAGTGTTCAGAGGTGCCTCCAAGCCCATCTTGGGGATCACAAGAAATGCAAGTTATTTCCATGGGGTTGATGGTCTGGGTGATGCCCCTGACCCCGAGGCTCCAGGCCTGGACATGGTCCAGAAGGAAGGAGCCGTATCTGCCATGATCCGAATCGCCACAGAGCACCCTGGCGAGGTAGGATGTCATCGTTACGCAAAAGAATCTTTCACTGCATTTCAGCCAAAAAACGGGTATGGAGAAGGTTGCCGGTTGAAGCTCGGCCTTAGCAATTTCCCAACAGGGATCAATGAAGTATCTATCATTATTATTATTATTATTATTTTATCACCTTAATGGAACTCTGATGCTAAGCCAATTAGGTAATTTGGATGGTGTGTGATTCTGTGGGGGTAAGTACTGTATGCCTGTGATTCCACTGTAGTTCTCCCCAGAATTTTACTCTAGGGACACTGTCTAATCCTCTGATATTCACTTGTGTGTCGCTTTGGACAAAAGCACCCGCTAAATTGATAAATGTAAATGTAGTATAAATGTTAGCATCGGTGAACCACGCTTCTACGGTAACACAAGCAGATGCCATTGATAAGTTTACTTAGGGATCACTTTGACACAGTGACAGAACTTGGCACTCTGTTCATTTTCCTTTTAAAGATTGATTTTTCTTTTATCATTCAGTTTAGCACATTAAACACCTGTGTTAGGAGGGAGAAAAAGGTCTTGAGCTGTGTCATGGGTAAGTTTGCCTAGATTACTCTGATTTCAGTGGAGGGGTGCCATTTGTCTTTTGTTTGGTCTTCTCAGGTGACTCTTGTGGCTACGGGCCCCCTAACAAACCTCGCCTTGGCTGTCAGACTGGACCCTACATTTCCCCAAAAGCTCAAAGGCCTTTACATTATGGGTGGAAACACTGAGTGTAAGAATTTCATTTCATACCTACATCTCAGCGCCAGCTACTCCTCTGCAGCCACTGTTACTTCAGATACATCACTTTATAGTACCGTTATACTGGGTGGCTCAGTAGGTGACACTATTAGCTCACACCTCCAGGGTTGAGGGTTCGACACTCGACTACACTCTTAGTTCACATTTTCCTCGTGTCCTGAAGGGCTCCTTCCGTCTTCTGGTTTCCACCCAATTAATTGGTGTCTCTGAATTGCATGGAGTGCATGTGTGTGCCTTGTGAGGTAACGGAATAATGTTCTGGGTGTACCCCAGCTTTCTCCCTTGTGCTGCCTGGGACAGGCTCCAGGCCTTCAGTGACTCTGACCAGGATAATTGATTAGAGGGAGGATGGATGGATGGATGGATGGAAAATCCTTTCTTAACTTTCTTCTAATTTCTATGTATTTCTAAGTCACTCTTATTCCTTAAGGGGAACCACCACCATCTAACTGATTATTAGACCATGGGTAACGTAATCCAGGGATCTCCAACTCCGGTCCTGGAGGGCTACTATCCAGTAGGCTTTCTATCCTACTTGGCTTCTGATGAGCCACACCTGGCCCTGGTATTTACCTGAGGACTAGTGTGGCTCATCAGAAGCCCGGTAGGATTGAAAACCGACTGGATAGTAGCTCTCCAGGACCGGAGTTGGAGATCCCTGGATTAGATTCCAGTAGGAGCCCAGCTGTTGTACCCTAAGGGAAGGTATTTAACCAGAATTTCTTCAGTGAAGCAGCTATTTGCGTTTGGACAGTAAATATACTTGATGATTGTGGTCTCTGTACTCATGGATTTATGCCTGTCTGCAGCCCGGGGTAACACGACAGTGTGTGGGGAGTTCAACTTTGTCAGCGATCCTGAAGCTGCTTACATCGTACTGAACGACTACCTCTGTCCAGTCTACATTACCTCTTGGGAGTTCACTTGTCGCCATAAGTTGCCCTGGGTGAGCCCATTTTAGCTGAGGGAGTGTTTACCCACAATTAGGGCTGTCACGATATAATCGCAATTGTATGGCACATGCGCAGTAATCACCATGTCTTTAGATAACGGGCGTAGAGATTTGTGTGGACGCCGGCTTTTCAGTAATACAGAAGCTCCTATACTTATGAACGAGTTACGTTCCAAACGGCTGTTCATAACTTAAAATGTTCATAAGTCTTTATTCGACACAATTTTAAGGGTATACTCAATTACAAAGAACTAGGACATGCTGGGAGTACGAACGCTACGATGCTATGTGGCGAGAATTGCAGCCAGAAGTCTTGGGGACAGGAAACGGGAGCCCAACAAACATATTTTTTAATTAAAGTCCTCTTCATTCGTATGTATGAAAGTTCGTAAGTAGAGGAGCGTCTGTATATGCATGTTTACTTGCGCACACAATTTGGCATTCACATTAGTAGTATGCTTAAAATATTAATGAGGCAAATTAAGTTTGTGATCTATAAATTTGACGTATCCTTATGTTTATTACATTCGGTTAGCGGAGCACGCCACATACTATTGTTTTGGTAAATCATGGAACAGATGAGCACTGAAGTGGTGGTGAAGAAAGGGTCAGTTCAGCAGCCACAACATTTTTTGAAAGAGGAGATATCCTGGACAAAGAAAGTAAAATAGACATTGGTATTGTGGTGGTACTTTTTGCAGTTTAGAGTCCCACACATTTATTAAACATTAGGAATGTGCCAAATTCGTAATGATGACTAATATTTTAGGGGTACTATACATGTCACACCCCCATTTCACAAAACCGACATAAGTTTTTTAAACTAACATGACGTCTAGCTAGCAATTTAAGTCACGGTGGGGATGTGGATGCGCGAGACAGACTGACAGCCCACACGGTTGCTAGGTAACAAGGTACACATTTGTGGTAGAAGAAAACATAACATAAGAACTATACAAACGAGAGGAGGCCATTCGGCCTCGCTTGGGGAGCACTTAACCAAGTGAGATTTTATTTGAAACTACAAAATTCTATGTTAGATGTACATTTTAACAAAAAAAATCGTTCATGTCCTGGGAAAGTATTAATTTCCGGGATAGTTGCTCAAAAATGAGAATACCGGAATGGATGGCAACCCTATGTACTGCTAAACTGCTCACCAGATTGTGGACGTTAACGTCCGAATAGTACCAAAAATCCTGAGTTCGGACAAATGTTTACGCCCGTCATCTAAAGCCCTGCTGATAATTGCACATGTACGATATGAACAGGATTATACTGTGACAGCCATGCCCACAGTGCATTGTAAACTTAGATTCTTTGCTATTCAAATGGCTTATTAGCAAATATATAGATTATTCATACTAAGTCATAGTTAATTCAATTAAAAATCATTTGTTTCAATATTTTTTTCCAGTTAACGATGGTGTTTTTCCCCTCAATTTCCCTCAGGAATTCTGTGATGAATGGCTTTCCCAAGACAACGAGAAGGCGAAGTTCATGAAGAGAATTTTCCAGCACTCTATGAATGAGGCCTACAGCCCGCAGTCTGAGAAGGAGTTGGTGGATGGTTTTGGTTTTGTGTCATGTGACTCCTATGCAATGGCAGCGGCCGTTGATGACTCATTTGTAACCGAGTATGAGCAGGTTGCAGTCACGGTGGAGCTCGCAGGAACGTGCACACGAGGAATGATGGTCCTAGACACCCTCGAACTTCTGAATAAAAAGCACAAGGCTTTCCTTTTAAAGCGTGTGGATATGGACAAGTTCAAAAGTTTGCTGATAAATGCACTAAAATGATGTAGAAACCTTGCAGCTAATACACTGGATTGGTTAACTGAGTTTTAACTAAATCAGTAGATCAAAGTCTGCTGCTGAGATACATAGATGACTTATTAAATAATTTAAATAATACTGATTTTACAATGTTTTACCGGAGTCTGCATGTGCCACACTTTAGTACTACCAGAAATGTACTGTATGAATACATATAAAGAAACAAGCAAGCAATCGTGTTCAATCATGAATAAATATTAGATTATTGTAATTTTATTAAGCTATTTGCTAATGAATAAAAAAAATCATATTGTTTTCAAATTATTTTATATACATTGTTATGTACAATTGCACATCCAGTCATTCTCTTCCCATCAGTATCCCTTTCTGCCCCTGAATCGTGATCTGTTATCCAACTGGAAATGAGGGGAAAAAATATTTTCAGTTTCTCTTTTTAGGGCTTGCAATTGCTGTAAGTTAATGTCTTGGTGTTTTTTTGGTGGAAATATCTCTCAGCATCAAAACACGATCCGTGTACTTACCATGGACCTCTTGCATTCGAAGAACGACACTTGCAGACCTTTGCAGTGACCTTCTTTCAAGCATTGGCTTGGCTTCTTCCCCTCCTACGGCCAAAAAAGTTTTATCTTAGCCAGGACGTGCAATTAATGAGAGGCTTGGGAAACAACATTCCGCTCATCATGAGTAATCAGCTTTAGCAATTAGAATTAACGTGGTAACATTGCAGTAGTCAGGCAAGCATTTCCACTACAAACGTACCTTGGTAACACAGTCGTGCTGAAGGAGACACGTTTTTAAGTCTTCTCTGACACCCGCACACGCTCTGTAATCATCTTCTTTATCTTCGTAATATTTGGGCATTTTGTCAGATTACCAAAAATGAAAATATCTTAATAAATATAATCCCTGTTATGAATCTTCAAAAGCTGTTTCAAGCAATCATACGAGCATAATGAAATACTTCTTCGACTGAATTTGTAAACTCCTTTAGCTGTAGGAAACGTGCCTGCTGCCACCTACTGCACTGGAGGGGGAATCAACCTGCCCTCTCCCTCTCACCATTTTGTCTTTCACGTTTTTTTCGGACACTTTTCAAAACAACATGCGTTCAGGGCCAGCTATGAGGTAACCGATGTCCTAAACTGCGTGATTTTTAGGAGCTAAAAATAATATCTGAAGCTAAATATTTACCTGCATAAAAATAGGATAACTAACGTTTCACGTAAATAATTACTTAAAAAAATAGACAGCGGTATAAATATCGTGATTGTCCCTTGTACCGGATCTCACTATAACCCTGGTTACGGCCATGCATACAATATAGAAAATTGGTTTTCTTCCCGAACTATTCCTATGTTGCAATATTCTCATTACAATATACATCATGCAGAGAAATCATAAAACACGTACTGCATTCACCTGGTTATAAAATAATTAAATCTGGATTTCTAACGGTTTTACATCCGTCACGAAATGCTCCATTCTACATTGATTTAGTACTGAGCGCGTTACTCTCTGTATGTTTCCTTTTTTGTCACCAGAATCCACAATGGGAAACTGCACGCCTCTAAAGGCAGAAATGCTCAGACCTTTTCAGTTTTATGGTATTTATTTACCCCCCTAGAACACCAGCTGGCGTTGCCTTATTTTTATATTTATGTAATTTTCCATATGTAGATTTCTACACATTTTACATTAGTATTACTACAAAATGTTGGTAAATGAAAGTGAATGATTTATAGAAATATAGGCCTATAGTTCTTTTATATGTGTATAGATTCGGGTTATCGAGCTTCTGATATAAACATCTCTGTGGTGTGAGTTTCAATAACCCACAAAATCTAGTTTATGGTACTCAGAGCGATGCTCTACCCTGTTGTGAATCATGAAGTATTCACGGTAATGTCAAGAGTATCACGCCTTTGTATTTGCACTTCAACATCTTTTATGGCCTGTGGATTATTATACGCTTTGTCTAGTTCATTTCAGCGTTTACAGTGTGTGGAGGCTGTCTCTCGCTTTATTTTTGTTGTAGTTTTCTGGCGCCATCTCGTGGTGCAAAATATGCTATTTGACAAATCATTCGCGTGTATTGGGCAGCTTTGGGGAAACAACAGCATTTTTACTTCATTCTCAGTGGGTTTATTATGTAGTTCAGACCGTTAATCTTCCACTCATGGGTTTGAGGCTGGCCTGTAAGATGAGGTCGGCCTCATCTGTATATTTTTATTCACTGGTTGTCTGTTTCCCCAGTGTTTGTTATTTTCTCTTTTGTCTCCCAGTTATATATTTACTCTGCTTGTGTTATGTTCGCTTCTGGTCATGTTTGTATTTTGGTTCCATGTTAATTAGCTCAGTGCCGTAATTGCTAGTGTGTGGTTAGTGTTTCCTAGTTTAAGGGCTTCTTCCTTGCTTTATGGGTCTTCAGTCCTGCTTCTAGGAGCCTGATATGAACTGTTCTAGCAGTGCACTTCACACCTGCACTTAATGCTTCCTATTGCTTTTGAAGGTCACTTGATGTCATGCTTCGATGCATGAGAAACTGTCAGATAAGTTAACGGTCATCTCTGGCATTAGAATGTTGCTTCCGCCCTTTACCTGACTGGTTTCTGATCGTTCCCAGTGTCTCCTGCTTCACCTTGTTCATGTGTACTGCTGCCTATGAAATTTTAAATCAGGAAGAATCCTGCTGCTCAGTATAGCCTTCAGTCAGCAGAACAAGGATTAAACCAGGATTTAAAAATGTATATTTGTTTAAAAATGTGGTGGTCTCAATTTTTTCCACGGCTGTATGTCTGCTGTGGTAGAACCGCCCTGTTGGAGTGGGACTGGCTGCAGTACATCACATGAACCTCTAGATGTCACTAAAAGCATATAATTGAATTGACTAGATCATATGACTGAGTATAAAACCTGAGTACAAGTCAGAACGATATGCAGAAGAAAGTACACGATAAAATCTGTGGTGGGGTAGTTGGTGCTAAGTTTGAATAAGGCCATTTCAATTTAAATTTCAAAAACTTTAAAGTTCACAGCCCACACTACTCATATAAAGATTTTTCAGTTTATTTGAAAGATATGCCCCAAAATCAGGGCGATGGGAGGGAAGTTGAAGGACTTAACTTAACAGCGGTGGGCTGAGAGAATCTCTGTGAAAGACAGCAGGGTAGGTCGGCCCAGGGTGTCCACTAATCAAACTCATGTTAATACCTGAGAAACACAACTATAGACATTTGTGCTTTTTATGTGGCTTGATCAGTACAAACATTAAACATATTGGTAATAAACTGACCATACTGCAATTTACATGTAAACTTGTTTAACCAGCAAATAGGCCCTATAAATGTCAATGCAGTTTGCAATCAAAGTTCCACCATTAAAATTGCTTCATACTTATGACAATACATGCAAGCTGAAATGTACTGCTGAATTTAATTGCAAAAAATAAACAGATATTCTGCGAAATATGGACAGACTTGCAGTTTTGGTCATGACTTATCATGGAATGAAACAGGAATTAAAAAATGCTTACAATTAGATTTTGAAAAAATTACAGGTGCCCTGGAGACAGTAAAACTGGTGAAACAAGTCATTTTGTCATTCAGAGCAAAAAAGCACACAACAGCACGTGTGTGAATGGCGAGATTGTCATTAAGAGATTAAAGACTTCATTACATTTAATAGATAGTGTCTGAAATGGTCTCTACACAAACCTGCGGTTTAACATGCTCTCATCAATTGTATACAGAAAAATCAGACAATTTTCTTCATTAAAAAGGTAAGCAAAACACTTTACAAACTATACACATTTAAAAATTTGATATGACTATTTATACTATACAATTAAAATAAATTAGATTATGTTCATTTGTCCTGATAATATTTCCCTTCAGTTGAACACACTGAACTGTATGCTATGCCTAAATTCTTCTGTTTCTTAAATTACATAGATACCATAAAAAAGCAGGAACGTCACATTAACACAGAAGTATAAAACATCCCCCAGTTCACAGTACCTTTGCATGTTTTTGCAGGATTTCTGATCATATAAACAATATCAAATGTTACCCCCCCCCCCACATTACTGTAACAAATTGCAGGAACTGATCAGTTAATTATGTGTTTAGTTTTCAAAAGTATCAAAAAGATAAAAAAAAACAGTCCTTGTGTTTGATGTTGTTCAGTACCTCCACTTTTCTGAAAAAGACAGTAATCAGTGTACAGACAGAGTCATGTGTTTATACAATAGGACCCAGCCTGCTAATGTGAGTGCCGTGCAGGTACTTTCCCTGCACATATACAGTAGATGATGGTGTGACATGGAACATGCAGCACTTCAGTCCACCAAACACAGCAGGTCGATGCATTTGCTAGTGATGGGCAAATGAAACTTCATGAACCATTCGCTGCACTTTTTAACCTCACTAGATGGCGCTCTTGGCTTGCTTTGGGGCATGCTTACAGCCCCACTACAACAGAGCACCATCTAGTGGGGTCAGAAAATACAGCAGATAGTTGATGAAACCTCTTTTGGCTATCACCTGCATTTGTCAGCTGCAGCAACATTACCCCCTCTGTGGAAACGCTTCCCTGTCCGTTTACATGCTTGTCGTTCTGCTGTGACAGGGATCCTGCCAGTTGTCATGACGAACCCTTGAGGTAGAGTGACATCACCAGGATTTTCCGGGATTGGTGGAGCTCTCAGCCCAATCACTGTCCCCGCTGATTAGTGTACTGCCACATTGTATACCCCCTTTAATGGCGAGGTAGCTTCTTGATGTGAATCTGCAAAAGGACGTGAGCAAATATATACATGTTATCACATACAATCTCACCGCTAAGAACCAGTCTGGAGTGGTGTGCGGCTCTCTGGTTTAGGACTGTGTGAACACAGTCAGGTAGTCAATTCAAATCCCATAATTGGCAGAGTGATTTCAAAGTTGGACCCTGGAGGAATTACATCAAGGACTGGCTGGTCCTGCTCGTCCGATCCCCCTGTGTGCCACACCCCCTCATTCACCTCATGGGAAACCCCGATTGTAATTAGCTGTTTCGTCTTATCTATGATTAGTCCTGTGTATTTTAGTCCGCGTCTGAGTCCGTCTCCTTAGCTCTGTCACTGAAGTCTCATGGTGTAGTGTTTCCATCCGTTGCCTGTTCCATGTCCCTGCTCCCTTTGTCGATTAAACCCTGTACTCCTATGTCTCCTTCTGCTTCCCGGTCTCGTGCACCACTACTGATCCTGACAGGATGCTGCTTTGGATAAACGTCAGTGGCAAATAAGTGAATGTAAATGTTCCCAGCTCAAAGAGCGTACTGGTGAGAAAGGGTGAATGCGACTGTCACAGAGTCCTTCCGCAGGTAGAAAGGGGAGTGGGGCTGACCTCATTCAGAATAACCCAAACAGAGGAGTTCCTGGTCATGGTGAGACGCAATGCCGCCGCAGGGTTAAAGATAGGGTCTACCACAGCTTCGGCCAAGCCCTTCGTAAACTGACCTGGGACGACAACACACAAGCACGTGGTATGTGAGTCTCTGTGTCTGAAAGCTGTTTACTGAACTTCAGCATCACAGCCCAGTTTAAAAAATAAAATTCTGTTAGTTTCTTAAATTAGAATTAAAGTACCCGTTTTTCAATAACATTCTTTTTTCGTACATTATTTTTATATTTAGCTTGAAAGCAGATTTAGTGCAAAAGCTTGCCTAAACTGATCTTAATTTCTTTCATGTACTTAGACTGCAGGTAATGTTTAATTTTATGCAAACTTTGCTTGTAAAGCACCAGTAGAAGGGTGTGTTTTTGTTATTCCTCTGATAAAATGTGGGTCAGATTGTTGTGCTGATCATTCCCCAAAAGCTCACGATTCAGAATCACTTTGGTGTAGCAAACTCAGACACACCCAGAAAGGCCTGCGGCACACTCACCAATGATGTAGAATTTGTCTTCTGTTAGTTTATATTTGTCTTTGGTCTGCAGTTCCTTGTCCTACATTGGATCAATACGACAAGCAAAAATTACTTTCCTATTATGGATCTGTCACTATGCACACACAGTGTGTCAGAACATATATCCTAGACCATATAAACCTTACAATGCACAACACCAAGGCCTGCTAAGTAACAGGTCCTCTCGGACTTGTGGGTCAAAATAAGCCTCAAACAAATATCAAATTATACAACACTCTGGGTTTCTGTGTTAAACTGTGGATGTGTTTTTAAAACCGTTACTGTGCTTCTGCAATAATCAGCAAATAAACCAATGTAAATATTTATTGATCAATAGTAAAAAAAAAGTCACTGGGTATCATATACAAAACAGAGCAGTAGAGCATGATTTATGATTTGAAGAATGGTGGAAATACATAGTCCAGATGCGGATGAGAGCACCCAGAGCGAACCCAGCGTGAAGCAGTGAACCCAGCGTGAAGCAGTGAACCCAGCGTGAAGCAGTGAACCCAGAGAGAAGCAGTGAACCCAGCGTGAAGCAGTGAACCCAGCGAGAAGCAGTGAACCCAGCGAGAAGCAGTGAACCCAAGGTGTCCTGTGTCGGGGGCTATTTTTGGGAAGAAAGCAGCACTTACTCCCTGTCTGACAGTCAAGAAGAGTGTAACTATAATGGCCTAATGGCCAAGTCAGAAAAACATGGACGGCCCAGTGACACTAAGGATAAACTGAGGAGTTACACTGACACCTGGGGGCCCAAAGTCACAAACTGAGTTTCACAACAACATTCATAGACATCCAAGGCGGTGTGTGCTGTTTACATAGGTACTCTGTGCCCATCTTATAAGAACCATATCAAGAGTATAATGAACAACATATTTGAGGTTCTTCGTAGTTCACTGTCTGAAAAAACTGAAATTGAAACTATCTGACATTTAGACCCTTGAGGATAATTTTAAACATGCAGCGTTGGACTTGTTTAGAATATTCTAGAATATTAGAATGTGTTTAGAATATTCTAGAATATTAGAATGTGTTTAGAATATTTCTTCCTGTTTTTCTTAGATTGCATGTGTCTATGTTCAGTCCCTGATGTGCCCCCCCACAAAGCCATCTGTGGTGGGGAGCTGCAGGGAACACAGATTAGATCATATTCCGTCAGATGGCTGTTCAACACCTCCAACTAGTGAATTATCTGCAGAGTCAAACAAATAACCCTCATCCCCAAAAACTGCTCCATCACACACTGAAGCCTAGAGCGCAGAGACCAAAGAGAGGCGGATGCGTGACAGCATTCGCCTCGGGGGGGGGGGGTGTCATGCTGGCGTGGGTGTTATGCATCGACCAGACAGAAATGAGGTAGCCATTACAAATTAGGAGAATTTTAAAATATTGTTTTAAATTTTAAAACATTGTTTTAAAAAAGCTTTTTTTTTCGCCTCACCGAGTATGGCAAAATCTCAATGCTGGTGTTTTCTATCTGGTCTCCAGGGTGCTCTTCATTTCCACTGCGAAACAGGTACCTGTCCATCAAGAAAGTCAGTCATGTCACACAAGTGCACTCTTACCGAAACACACATATACACACAGTCACAAAAAGAAGAGGCAAAACCCAGCACTTACACATCGTAGACAATCAAAACTATTCATTAAGCTCCACTCAGTTGTGGAAATATAATGAATTTGCATTTAATTTATCCTATAAATGATACTGCTGAAGCTGTACTGGGCTGAAGCTGTACTGGGCTGAAGCTGTACTGGGCTGAAGCTGTACTGTCCTGAAGCTGTACTGGGC